AAAATTGTGGCAAAATATCAACAATCTCAAGGTTACAAGTCCATCTCCAGAGAACTAGATTTGCCTTTGTCCACAGTGCGCAACATTATCAAGAAGTTTGCAACCCATGGCACTGTGTAGCTAATCTCCCTGGTCGTGGACGGATGAGGAAAATTGATGAAAGATTGCAACGCAGAATAGTCCGGGATGGTGGATAAGCAGCCCCAAACATGTTCCAAAGACATTCAAGCTGTCCTGCAGGCTCAGGGAGCATCAGTGTCAGCGCGAACTATCCGTCGACATTTAAATGAAATGAAACGCTATGGCAGGAGACCCAGGAGGACCCCACTGCTGACACAGAGACATAAAAAAGCAAGACTACAGTTTGCCAAAATGTACTTGAGTAAGCCAAAAGCCTTCTGGGAAAACATCTTGTGGACAGATGAGACCAAGATAGAGCTTTTCGGTAAAGCACATCATTCTACTGTTTACCGAAAACGGAATGAGGCCTACAAAGAACAAAACACAGTACCTACGGTAAAATATGGTGGAGGTTCAATGATGTTTTGGGGGTTGTTTTTGCTGCCTCTGGCACTGGGTGCCTTGACTGTGTGCAAGGCATCATGAAATCTGAGGATTACCAAAGGATTTTGGGTCGCACTGTAGGGCCCAGTGTCAGAAAGCTGGGTTTGCGTCCAAGATCCTGGGTCTTCCAGCAGGACAATGACCCCAAACATACGTCAAAAAGCACTCAGAAATGGATGGCAAAGAAGCGCTGGAGAGTTCTGAAGTGGCCAGCAATGAGCCCAGATCTAAATCCCATTGAACACCTGTGGAGAGATCTTAAAATTGCTGTTGGGAAAAGGTGTCCTTCCAATAAGAGAGACCTGGAGCTGTTTGCAAAGGAAGAGTGGTCCAAAATTCCGGGTGAGAGGTGTCAGAAGCTTATTGATGGTTATAGGAAGCGACTGATTTCAGTTATGTTTTCCAAAGGGTGTGCAACCAAATATTAAGTTAAGGGTGCCAATACTTTTGTCCAGCCCATTTTTGGGGTTTTGTGTGACATTATGTCATATTTGCTTTTCTGCCTCTGTTTTATATTTGTTCCAATACATACAAAGGGAATAAACATGTGTATAGCAAAACATGTGTTAATGCAATACCTTTTTTGTGTGAAATACTTGATTTTCAGGAAAAAATATCAAGGGTGCCAACAATTTCGGCCATGACTGTAAGTACCTGTAATAAATAAAATGATTTAGCATGTTAACTTGACGAAGAAGGAAGGGGGGTGCAGGTGCTTGCTGGCCACTGGTTGCTGCAGACTTTAGCTGTGCAATCTACTGATTAGTTGCTTGACTGCACTCTAATACAGTGATCAGCAGATAGCACAGCTAAAGTCTGCAGCACTCAGTGGCCATCAGAGAGGAGAATACATGTCTACATGGATGTCTGAGATGCATTCTTCCATTTAAAGATCAAGGAAGGGTGCTGTAATGTTTTCAGGAGCCTGCTGGCCTACCAACCACACTCAATCTTACTACAAAGACCAAAGGATGATGCCACTGGATCTCACAATAGCTATGTAATAAAAATAGAATGATTTAATTAAAAAAAAAAAAAGTATTTGCATGCTGAGTGGTGGTGGTGGTGGCTGTGTGTTCGATGTTGAAGATAATATATGCATGCATTAACCAAAGCCCATTACAGCTGCCTGTACCGGCAATGATCACGTCAGAGCTGCAAACTCAACAGAAATACAAGGGCAGCTTTGCAGGGGGGTCATATCTGACACATCTACAGTATCTACATCTACTCTGACGCAACTCAAACCACGAGTGGAATGCATTTAAATTCCCGCTGTACTTGCCCCGATACTTATGCCAAAACTCATAGCTTCCCCAGGAAAGTGGACCTGTCACTTATGTTCCGGGGGCATTTGTGAAACTGCAGCAAGTCGGCTTCATCTGGCTCTTTCCTCCCAGCCTGACAGTCCCTGCGCCACTCCTTTCATTCATTCATTTATTCACTCAGGGTAGTGTGAATGCAAATTTGGTCTGCCAAGGAATGTCCACTCCTTCAACTGAAATCCACCAATCAACGCATTTTGATATTTACATAACTCCTCCCACTTCTTGCATCAGGGCGGAAGGCTCTTGAGAGAAGCCCAATTTTCACAGCTATAAGCTTTCTCTGCCATCAACCATTTTTGATCTTCATTGTTGTTGTTGTTGATCTTCAGGGCTGATGTCAATCACTGTACTGCTGTTCCTGAGCGCTATATTAAAGAACACATCTCCAGCATCCCTTTAGACGTGTTGGTCTGCTGACCACTGGGTACTGTAGACATAAGCAGTGCAAGCTGCTGATCAGTTTGCTTGACTGCGTTCCATGTCTGTAATCAAGTAACTCATCAGCAGATTATGTGCTGGTTTGCTGACCTTTGGGTGCTGCAGACATTAGGTGTGCAAGCTGCTGATCAGTTGCTTGACTGCGTTCCATGTCTGTAATCAAGTAACTTATCAGCAGATTGCACAGATTAAAGTAGAATTCCAGCCTAAGCCTAACTTTTATTAAAATGTCCCCTCCCTGCTCCTAAAACCTATGCTAACCTGTGTAAAATAGATGTGTATACTTACCTATTTTCAACCCACATTGGTCTGGTCACCTGAACTCCCCTGTGTAAATCAGAAGTGGCTGCAGGTGAGAGGAGAGAGTGCTTAACAGCGGCTGGGAACTCCAGAAGTGGTGACGTCAACTATAGGCTACAACATGTTGTCAGAACTCCCTCCTCTCTCCTGCAGCTGCTGCTGACTGAAACAGGGGATCCGGATCACATAACTGGACCAAAGCGGGCTGAAAATCGGTACATTTCTTTACACAGGTTAGTCAGCGTGCGTCTTAGGAGAGGGGAGGGGACATTTTTAGTACTTGTTAGGTTAAAACTGGAATTCTACTTTAAGTCTGCACCACCCAGTGACCAGTAAAGATGCACATCTAAAGCGATGCCAGATGCCAGAGATGTGTTCTTTTACGCTGATGTTTACAAAAACTGGCCTGCCTTCCAACAAACTCGATATTATGACGAAAGACCAGAGGAGAGACCCAGTAATGACTTCACTGGGTGTAAAATGGGGCATTTCTATATATTTGATTGAAACATTTTACAAGTTAATACTACCCACATCCTCATACAAAATCACAAAATGTAAAGAGCAAATTCTGGATGCAAAGTGCAATGAGGAATACTCACCATACCGTTTTTTACGATGGTAATAGCTGAGAACCGGGAATCTCCCACCTTGCCGAAAGGCAGCTACTTTCCGCAGTGATTCATCATCGATAGATTTGGTACGATGACGATGGGAGGGTATGACGGGCACACAGAGAAATCTTTATTCACGTAGCTCAGCCGCCATTCATCGGTCTGTAAGAGAACACACGTTTATAGTGTGGCACTGCACCAACCCACCTACAAACCGTTTTCCTGATCTTTTCCAGCTATGGAAGGAAGCCAAAGCCTTAGACACTACGAACACACATGCAGCACTTCAGATATTTATGGAGAACTCCCTATCACGTAAACGCACCAGAAAAATACACTATATGGCTAGAAGTATGTTGACCTCCCTACAAATGACGGAGTTCAAGTGATTCCAGTGGAGGGTGTTGTTAATAATACATCATAGAAAGACTCTGTAGACAATTATGCTCTTCCAACCTTGTGGTAACAGAGTGCCCTTGTGAGATTTTATCTTGTATCTTATTATTCCAGACTAGACAAATTAGTACATACCAGCTCTTATATTTTTATGACTCCAAGGGAGAGTTGGGAATAAAATAAAAAAAAAAAAAAACCCCACAAAAATACTTGTCTACCTCTCAAACAAACACTCACTAGTTCCCATAAACGCAGATCAGGGTGTCTGCTGGCTATTACAATCAATAGGGAGCAGATTATGATGTCTAGACATCTCAATTAGAGAAGGTGATATTAATTTTGGACTGAGCTTGAACTTACCTGTCCTCTGGAAGGCGCCTCTATGTTCTGGGTCAAATGATCTGAACCCTGCACTAGGTAAGTGGTGTAAAGCAGCTCTGCATTCCAGGTTTCCTTCCAGCCTTAATTCATGATGAAGATTCTGGCCATGGTCCTTGTCAGCAGTGCCTTTATTCATGATGAAGGCTCTGGCCACGGTCCATGTCAGCAGAGCTTTTATTCATGATGAAGACTCTGGCCACGGTCCATGTCAGCAGAGCTTTTATTCATGATGAAGACTCTGGCCATGGTCCATGTCAGCAGAGCTTTTATTCATGATGAAGACTCTGGCCACGGTTCATGTCAGCAGAGCTTTTATTCATGATGAAGACTCTGGCCATGGTCCATGTCAGCAGTGCCTTTATTCATGATGAAGACTCTGGCCATGGTCCATGTCAGCAGAGCTTTTATTCATGATGAAGGCTCTGGCCATGGTCCATGTCAGCAGTGCCTTTATTCATGATGAAGATTCTGGCCACGGACCACGTCAGCAGAGCTTTTATTCATGATGAAGACTCTGGCCACGGTCCATGTCAGCAGAGCTTTTATTCATGATGAAGACTCATGGTCATGTCAGCAGTTTTATTCATGATGAAGACTCTGGCCATGGTCCATGTCAGCAGAGCTTTTATTCATGATGAAGACTCTGGCCATGGTCCATGTCAGCAGTGCCTTTATTCATGATGAAGATTCTGGCCACGGACCACGTCAGCAGAGCTTTTATTCATGATGAAGACTCTGGCCACGGTCCACGTCAGCAGAGCTTTTAATCATGATTATTTTTAAATGTCAGCAGATAGTGTTTAGATCCTTGTCTGAACCCACGTGTGCAAGCACACCAGACAGCAGTCACCTGTACGGGGCCAATCAAAAGCCCAGGCATTCCTCGCACTGTAGTCAGACTTGTACACGTCCCTTTTATATGTGTGGCTGCAGGAACAGAATGTTCTGGCCAGCAGATAATTGGCCCAGTACAGGTGGTGGGCTCACTCGGGTGGGTTCATACTAGGATCCAAGCACTCCCAAGATCATCCCAAATCCAAAAACTAACATTTTATACGTTACAGCTTATCATTCCTTACATATGGTGGCTCTGTTTTTTTTCTCTTTATTTTCACCTGGTGATCCTTCCAGTAACACTCTTCCTGTCCTAGGGTGACAACCCTTTCCCACACCATCTGTGTAGGTGCAGCATTGCCACCCTAGGACAAAAAGTGTGTTAGGCCTAATGAACACCTTCCCTCTCCTTTTCACAGCATAGGGTGGAGGCAGCCTGTAGTCCACAGAAGTGATGCAACATTTATACAGATATCATTTTATTTCACGTGGAGCCATAAGGGCACTGGATTTCTGGCAGGATCAAGAGGTATTATCTGTACTTGCTGAAATGTTCTTAGACAGAAAAAGAAAACTAATGCCAAAACATCTAAGGACTAGCAAGCTGAAATATATAAAATTTGTATTTCCATGGATTAGTACAGGGTGCAGCAACATAACTTCTTTTTTGAAATGCGTGCCATTCAGGCTGTAGCGGCCATAGCAGGGCGGGAGTGGTCTCAGGCGACAGGCGTAGTTCTAAAGTTTTTGTTCTCTTCCAGGTCAGTCATCATCATGCGTTGGAACAGTGAGCAGCGTGCGTTTGCCGTAGAGGCCTACTTTTCGAACTGATTTTCTGTGATCGCAACCCAACGCGCCTTCCGACATCGCTTCAATGTAGCCCCGTTGGGCCGTGTCCTGGACCGGAAATCAATTGTTACGTGGGTCACTACGTTCAGACAAACCGCGAGTACGACAAGACGAAGAGCTGGAGTCCCTCGACCCATCAGATAACCTGAGAACATCGAAGCAGTGAGAGCTTCAATCTTGCGATCCCCGCAGCGTTCTGCGCACAAACATGCGTCTGCCCTTGGACTTTCGGATGGTTCAGTGAGGCGAATTCTTCACGATGACCTTCATTACCATCCGTACAAGTTGGTGATTGTGCAGGAACTCTCCGAACGCGACTTCAATTCTCGGAGGAACGCATGTGAGGCAGTACTCGAAAATGTCCCTGAGGACGCAATTGTTTTTTACAGTGATGAAGCCCATTTTCACTTGACTGGATGCGTCAACAAACAGAACATGCACTACTGGGCCGACACCAATCCTCGAGAATTGCATCAAAGGCCTTTGCATTCATCTAAAGTCACAGTGTGGTGTGCAATTGCCTCAGCTGGGATTATTGGTCCCTGGTTCTTTGAAGAAAATGAGGTCACAGTGACAGTGAATTCAGACCGGTATGTAAACATGTTGGAGGAATTTGTTTTTCCACGACTTGATGAATTGGACTTAGGGGACATTTGGTTCCAACAGGACGGAGCAACGGCTCACACTTCAAGAGCATCAATGGCTGTTTTAAGGGAACACTTCCCGGAGCACCTCATCTCAATAAGGGGAGATTTGGAGTGGCCAGCCCGCTCCCCCGATTTGGCCCCTTGCGACTTTTTTTTGTGGGGTTTTTTGAAATCCCGCGTTTATGTAAACCGTCCAAGGACCCTACAAGACCTGAAGGCCAACATCCGTGCTGAAATTGCCAACATACCCGCTGCTATGCTGGAAAGGGTCATGAAAAACGCCAGAAATCGGCTTATTCAGTGTATGGACATTGGGGGGCGTCACCTACCTGATATGATTTTCAAAACTGTGTAAAACAGAACTTTAGATATGTACCTACATTATTAAAGACAATAAAAACAATTCTGATTCATAAAATGGGTTTTATTGCGTTTTGAAAAAAGGAAGTTATGTTGCCGCACCCTGTATTATTAGTATTATTTATAATAGAAGAGGTATGTCAGGGTTCTGGAGTAATCTGAAGGTCATAGTTTACAGTGGCTACATGGCCAGGTTTAGGGGCTCCCTAGAGAGCAAGTAAGGTATTTTACAAGAAGCAATGGACAATCAAGATTGTAAAGAAGATAAGCCTCTCTTTCATCTTGTCTTAAACTATTTTTCAACTAGCTATTACACCAACCATATAGATAAACCCGCAACTCACAAAAAGGTAGTAGTTGTTGGTCACATTCAACTGGACTTCTGAAATGCTGAAGATATTTTGTAGCTTCTGAAGGCGTTTTGTAGCTTTTCTGAAACAATTCTTCAGTTCTGATGAGTGTCAGGAGGCTATCCCAACATTTATATCCACTGAAAATGTTTTGTAGCTTTTCCGAAACAATTCTTCAGTTTTGACGAGTGTCAAGAGGATACCCCAACGTTCATATCCACTGAAGATGTTTTTGTAGCTTCTCCGAAACAATTCTTCAGTTCTGAGGAGTGTCAGGAAGCTATCCCAACATTGATATCCACTGAAGACATTTTGTAGTTTCTCCAAAACAATTCTTCAGGTCTGATGAGTGTCAGGAGGCTATCCCAATATTGATATCCACTGAAGATGTTTTGTAGTTTCTCCAAAACAATTTTTCAGTTCTGATGAGTGTCAAGAAGATATCCCAACATTTACATGGCTGAAGGTGTGAACCATTGTCAAAACAGCAGGGAATCAAAAGTCCCAACAACTTTGTATATGCAGTGCGGTGTAGTGAGGAATACAATACATTGGGGATGCAAAACAACCCCTCAGTGAACCAAATGCCCAACATAGGAGGGCAAATTCTACAAACCAAGACTCAGCAGTCTTCCTACGTGATGAAAATGAACATTCTTTTGAGGACATCTAGTTTGGAAGAGGTCATCTATATTAAACTGGTACAACCATTTCTGAAAACGGTGGAGGCCTTACACCATTTGTCTTCCACATACAAGACCAGTTTAACATCAATGCACAACTTCATGTAAATTGAAGGATTAGCACCTGGACAGACTTCCTAAAACTAAGGATGGGATTATGGAACTAGAACATGGTGGTCCCACAACTTTCACACATCCCATCCTGTTCCTGAACAACTACATCTGCCTTTCCATGGTGATTAGTGGCTGTGTTACCTCTGTGGATATCAATGCTGGGGTATCTGACCAACACTCAGAAACAATGTGGAGAATTTACAAACGTCTTCAGAACAAATCCAGCTGAATGTGACCAAGTGTTACTAGATGTGCCATGACCTGGATAAATGAGAACCTTCATAAAAGAGAAGTACTTTTGAGCTGAGGAGTTAAATTCTTGTTCAGGCACCGGTAGTGGTTTGGATAAGCTACAAAACGTCTTCAAAATGACAGAACAAGTCTAGTTGATTTGATAAAGCACAACTAGATATACCATAAAATAGATAAATGAGAATCTTCCTAGACAATATAAGTACCTCTGAGCTGAGAAGTTCGAATTCTTGTTCAGGCAGGAAAGCATGCCATCCGTCTTCAGTGACCTCGAACATTGGCCGGTAGAAGAACGGGTACATCAGGGAGATGGTGTCCAGAGTGGATAAGGCCTAGAGAGAGCACAGCGCACATATGACCAATTAATAGTCAAACAACCTACCACATCGTATATATGTATTGGGGGGGGGGGGGGTAGGTCTTCACCTCAATAGAACTAGCGATGTTGATACATTCATCCATCCCTGTGATCTCCAGTTGGATTATGCGCAAGTCCTTGCATTTTATGGTGATGGTCCCAGAAGAGCCGACGAACCTGTAAAATAACAAATATTCGTCTTTGGCCTCAACAATAGTGTCATGTATATTAAAGATATCATCAGAATTCACTTAAGCTTTCCATGCCTTCAAAGGAGGAGGTAATCATGCCCACATCCCAGGGAGGTCCTAAAGTGGGCCCTATTTTATATATATATATTGGAGAGAATGTCCCTTACATTGGTGGTCAGTGGGAAGAATGTCTCTTACATTGGTAATCAATAGGAAGAATGTTCCTTACATTGGTGATCAGTGGGAAGAATGTCCCTTACATTGGTGATCAGTGGGAAGAATGTCCCTTACATTGGTGATCAGTGGGAAGAATGTTCCTTACATTGGTGATCAGTGGGAAGAATGCTCCTTACATTGGTGATCAGTGGGAAGAATGTTCCTTACATTGGTGATCAGTGGGAAGAATGCTCCTTACATTGGTGATCAGTGGGAAGAATGTCCCTTACATTGGTGATCAGTGGGAAGAATGTCCCTTACATTGGTGATCAGTGGGAAGAATGTTCCTTACATTGGTGATCAGTGGGAAGAATGTTCCTTACATTGGTGATCAGTGGGAAGAATGTTCCTTACATTGGTGATCAGTGGGAAGAATGTTCCTTGCATTAATAGTGCACAGTGGGATGTGTCATTTACGACACACTGGCACCACTCCCTTCACAGGGCACAACAGAGACCAGAATATAATGCAGCCACTGTTGTGAAGGAGCTCTTGGGCCTGAAGTTTTAAACCCCCAAGCAGTGTATACACAGAGACCTTGGAAAATAAAATGATGAGTTACACATTTTTAGGTCACCTGTTATTAGTGCACATGTTCATCAAACCCATATTTTCAGTATAAAATAAACCAAAATTAATTTTGATGTACATACAATATGATACCTAATTTTTTTCTGAAATATAAAAGATGGGGTTGTGTCGAGTAAATAGATACCAAACACATCCAAGCTTAAACTGCCTGTGAAACAGCGAAACCCTGATACCACAAAATGTCCATAAATAACAATGATCAGATGCTGTCACTATCAAATCACCACAACAGCAATCCTCAAAATCCATATAGGACATTCAGTCTTCATATGCTCTCACCAGATTCCTCTGACAATCAAGCGTTGGGTACAAATACATCCTCCTCTCCTCCACTCTTTTCCTGGCTTCTCTTCTGCTTGTGCTCCCAAATAAAGGAAAACAAATATAGTGTAGTATGTCTTCAATCTTCAACTGTGCTCAATCTCTGAGAATATAGGGTATTCCGAATATTGTGCTCTTCACCAATCACCATTAATAATATATACTCTTACCTTCCTCCACAAACTTCATGCAAAACATCAATATAAGTGTCTTCTCCATTAATCCAACGTGTGTCAGTGACCATCAACCTTAGATATCACACCAACAGGAGTGCTCCATTATTCCCCTTCAGGTCATGCACCCTACCCTCTATACCAGGGTTCCTCCAGAGGTCCAATGGGGTTCCTTCAGTAATCAGCAATTTTTGCCACTCAGGTAAGTTCCCACTGACACCATTAATCTTTTTAGCAATCTGTCATTCTTCCCACTGACCACCAATGTAAGGAACATTCTTCCCACTGACCACCAATGTAAGGAGCATTCTTCCCACTGATCACCAATGTAAGGAGCATTCTTCCCACTGATCACTAATGTAAGGAGCATTCTTCCTACTGATCAAAAATGTAAGAGACATTCTTCCCACTGATCACCAATGTAAGGAACATTCTTCCCACTGATCACCAATGTAAGGAACATTCTTCCCACTGACCACCAATGTAAGGAACATTCTTCCCACTGACCACCAATGTAAGGAACATTCTTCCCACTGACCACCAATGTAAGGGACATTCTTCTCACTGATCACCAACGTAAGGGACATTCTTCCCACTGACCACCAACGTAAGGAACATTCTTCCCACTGATCACCAATGTAAGGGACATTCTTCCCACTGATCACCAATGTAAGGAACATTCTTTCCACTGATCACCAATGTAAGGAGCATTCTTCCCAATGATCACCAATGTAAGGAACATTCTTCTCACTGATCACCAATCTAAGGGACATTCTTCCCACTAATCACCAATGTAAGGAACATTCTTCCCACTGACCACCAATGTAAGGAGCATTCTTCCCACTGACCACCAATGTAAGGAGCATTCTTCCCACTGATCACACCAATGTAAAAAGCATTCTTCCCACTGATCACCAATGTAAGGAGCATTCTTCCCACTGATCACCAATCTAAGGGACAGTCTTCCCACTGACCACCAATGTAAGGGACATTCTTCTCACTGATCAACGTAAGGGACATTCTTCCCACTGACCACCAACGTAAGGAACATTCTTCCCACTGATCACCAATGTAAGGGACATTCTTCCCACTGATCACCAATGTAAGGAACATTCTTTCCACTGATCACCAATGTAAGGAGCATTCTTCCCAATGATCACCAATGTAAGGAACATTCTTCTCACTGATCACCAATCTAAGGGACATTCTTCCCACTAATCACCAATGTAAGGAACATTCTTCCCACTGACCACCAATGTAAGGAGCATTCTTCCCACTGACCACCAATGTAAGGAGCATTCTTCCCACTGACCACCAATGTAAGGAGCATTCTTCCCACTGACCACCAACGTAAGGTACATTCTTCCCACTGATCACCAACGTAAGGGACATTCTTCCCACTGATCACCAACGTAAGGGACATTCTTCCCACTGATCACCAACGTAAGGGACATTCTTCCCACTGATCATCAATGTAAGGGACATTCTTCCCACTGATCACCAAGGTAAGGGACATTCTTCTCAGTGATCACCAGTGTAAGGGACATTCTTCCCACTGATCACCAATGTAAGGGACATTCTTCCCACTGATCACCAATGTAAGGAACATTCTTTCCACTGATCACCAATGTAAGGAGCATTCTTCCCAATGATCACCAATGTAAGGAACATTCTTCTCACTGATCACCAATCTAAGGGACATTCTTCCCACTAATCACCAATGTAAGGACATTCTTCCCACTGACCACCAATGTAAGGAGCATTCTTCCCACTGACATCACCAATCTTCCCACTGTAAGTAAGGAGCATTCTTCCCACTGACCACCAACGTAAGGTACATTCTTCCCACTGATCACCAACGTAAGGGACATTCTTCCCACTGATCACCAACGTAAGGGACATTCTTCCCACTGATCACCAACGTAAGGGACATTCTTCCCCACTGATCATCAATGTAAGGGACATTCTTCCCACTGATCACCAAGGTAAGGGACATTCTTCTCAGTGATCACCAGTGTAAGGGACATTCTTCCCACTGATCACCACTGTAAGGAGCATTCTTCCCACTGATCACCAATGTAAGGGACATTCTTCCCACTGATCACCAATGTAAGGGACATTCTTCCCACTGATCACCAATGTAAGGGACATTCTTCCCACTGATCACCAATGTAAGGGACATTCTTCCCACTGATCACCAATGTAAGGGACATTCTTCCCACTGATCACCAATGTAAGGGACATTCTTCCCACTGATCACCAATGTAAGGGACATTCTTCCCACTGATCCTCAATGTAAAGGACATTCTTCCCACTGATCACCAATGTAAGGGACATTCTTCCCACTGACCACCAATGTAAGGAGCATTCTTCCCACCGATCACCAATGTAAGGAGCATTCTTCCCACTGATCCCCAATGTAAGGAGCATTCTTCCCACTGATCACCAATGTAAAGAGCATTCTTCCCACTGATCACTAATGTAAGGGACACTCTTCCCACTGATCACCAATGTAAGGGACATTCTTCCTACTGATCACCAATGTAAGGAACATTCTTCCCACTGATCACCAATGTAAGGGACATTCTTCCCACTGATCACCAATATAAGGGACAATCTTCCCACTGATCACCAATGTAAGGGACATTCTTCCCACTGATCACCAATGTAAGGGACATTCTTCCCACTGATCACCAATGTAAGGGGCATTCTTCCCACTGACCATCACAGTAATGTATCATGAAGTGTAGATATAGTCATTTTTAGCAGGGGTTCCCTGAGACCTGAAAGTTAGGTCAATGGTTCCTCTGTATTGAAAGGGTTGAGAAAGGCTGTTCTATACATTGCATATATATGCCTTCTTAATCATTTCCGTGCCTCACTAAAATTCTACACTTTGACTTCTTGTTACTTCCGCGCTCACAACAGGTGTATTAAAAATAAATATCCATAGTGCAGCAGTACAATAAAAACTGCTCTTTTATTGAAGAGTATATGCCTACATGAATTCTGATATTGAAATGCCTTCTCTAAAATGGCCGATGCGATATTTCCGGTGTGCGTCTGATGTAACTTCCTGTTGACGCGTTTCATCACATTGACTTCCTCATAGGCCGTGAACGCCAGACGCAGCTAGATCCTCGCTTTGTATAGAGTTCAACACTGCCCATACTGGAGACCTCATCGGCCATTTTAATTATTAAAACGTATTACACATATCAACCCCGGTCTGCATTCCATATCTATGATGCACAATATATAAAATGACAATAATGACTAATAATAAACCATTATTAAAATATTAATGACTAATAAACAACCATAAATAAACACCAAAATACATCCATGATCGGTATCGCCTCTCTGCCTCTCTGCTCCCCTACAGGAGACCTACGGACAGTATCACCAGTCAGGACGGCGGTATCCTTAATGCAGTGCCCTCAGCACCATATATTCTACTACCATGGAGTATGCTCCTAAAAATTCCCCAATCAAAACCCATAAAATAATTAAATGGAAGACAATATAACTTTTATTTCTAAAATACATAGAGTTAGGCCCATATATATTTGGACACAGGCACAATTTTAGATTTTTTCAGGTATTTACCAAAACATAGTTAGTCTGGCTGAAAAAAGACAAAACTCCATCCAGTTCAACCATTAAAAAAAAAAAAAAAGTTATAATTCTATACCCACAGTTGATCCAGAGGAAGGCAGAAAAAAACCAGCAAAGCATGAGCCAATTTGCTCCTGCAGGGAAAAAAATTCCTTACTGATCCCCCCGAAAGGCAATCGGATATTCCCTGGATCAACTTTACCTATAAATGTTAGTGTTGAAGAAACCTTTCTGTGTTTGGAGATTACATTTCTTTTCCTCCAAATGTAAAGAGTGCCCCCTTGTCCTCTGTGATGACCTCAGGCTGAATAATGCTACACCGAGTTCTACAAACACATTGGGCAGCACAGTGGCTAAGTGGTTAGCACTTCCGCCTGGCAGTACTAGAGTCGCTGGTTCAAATCCCAACCACGGCACCACCAAATGTTCTCCCTGTGCCTGCGTGGGTTTCCTCTGGTTTCCTCCCACACACCAAAGACACACTGGTAGGTTAATTGGCTCCTGTCTAAATTCTCCCTAGTATGTGTATGTATGAATGTGAGTTAGGGACCTTAGATTGTACCCCCCTTGAGGGTTAGGGACTGATGTGAATGTACAATATATATGTAAAGTGCTGCGTACATTGATGGCGCTATATAAGTACCTGAGATAAATATTCAAGCTATAGTTATATAATGGATATGGGATGAAAGTGAACACTCTCAGAATTAATTTGAGGGTACGTACATCCAAATTGGAGGAAGGGTTTAGGAATTACAGCTCTTAAGAGTAGCCATCCCCTCTACTGACCCAAAAAAGATAACACCTTCCCTTTTCCTTACAGAGCCCAAATGATGACCCCCCCCCATGGTCCTAGAAAATTGCTCCCCCCATAGACATCTCGCCCCCCCCTCCCAAAGATTAAGAGGATGACCCCCCCGCAAATAGACATCTCCTCCTCCCCATAGACCCAGAAGTTGGCCGCCACCACCACCCCAATATACATCTCTTCCACCCATAGATCCAGATGATGCCCCTCCCCAATAGACATCCCCTCCCCCCACAGACCCATATGATAACCACTCCCCCGATATGATGACCCCTCCCCCCAATAGACATCCCCTACCCCATATGATGATCCCCCTCCCTCATATGACTCCTCCCTTAATAGACATCCCCTCCCCCAATATGATCACAGACCCATAAGATGACCCTTTATAGACACCCTCTCCCCCCATCTCCAGCAGCGACGAGCTCTCACCTCTTCTCTATGGAGTCAATGTTGGAGTGGAGCAGCCAGAGCTCCTCACTGTTGTCCTGTCTGGAGCTCAGGATCAGATGGTGACCCGTCAGACACAGGGTCCCGCCCACTGCCGGGTGGAAGGGTCGGTGCAGGACCACCTTGTCCACCCGGGGGTCTTGATGAGCTCAGCGAACTCCATAGCGGACACCGACGCAGCCTTGTCACCGTCCTCTCATCACCGGGACCGGAGAACAGCCCAGACCGCGGAACCAGCAATGCGCATGCGCTGCCTCTCCCACAAAAGCGCGCTCCCGACACTGCTTGACAGCTGATCAGTGCCCGTCTCCTGCAGCGTGCACGCTCCCGCGTCTGTTGAACCTATATAGCGCATGCGTGAAAGGTCAAGTCCTTCTCCCCTGTGCACATGCGTGAACTGTCCTGCGATTAGCTCCCTACGGTGCGCATGCGCAATACAAAGACTAATGAGAGAGCTCAGTCTCTACAAAGTTGTACTGTTTGTTTCAGATGGAATCTTTTTATGAATTTTGGTCATCGATCGGGGTTTCTATGGTGACCTCAGTGTTGATGGTTTTTATAGGTGGCAAGCGGAGAGTTATTCCCAGACTGTTTGCCGGTAGGTGGCGCTGCTGTCCAACCTGTGCTGCTAGTAACGTCATGGGTTGTAGCTCCCAGTCAAGCGGCATATGGATGCCTTCTGGGGGGGCACTAAATAAAAGTGCATGTTCGTTTTTGGCCTAATTCTCACATAATCCCATAGACCCAAGACCCCTCCCATTCCCCCATATAGAGATGACCCCTCCCCTCATAAAGACTACCATTCCCCCATAGACCAAGGAGGAGATGACCCCCTCCCCTCATAAAGACTACCATTCCCCCCATAGACCCAGGAGATGACCCCTCCCTCATAAAGACTACCCTTCCCCCCATAGACCAAGGAGATGACCCCCTCCCCTCATAAAGACTACCCTTCCCCCCATAGATCCCAGGAGATGACCCCTCCCTCATAAAGACTACCATTCCCCCGTAAGATCAGGAGATGACCCTCCCCCCCATCATAATGACCCCTCCCCTCATAAAGACTACCCTTCCCCCATAGACCCAGGAGATGACCCCTCCCCTCATAAAGACTACCCTTCCCCCATAGACCCAGGAGATGACCCCTCCCCTCATAAAGACTACCATTCCCCCATAGACCCAAGGAGATGACCCCTCCCCTCATATAGACCCATTCCCCCATAGACCCAGGAGAGACCCCTCCCCTCATAAAGACTACCCCCATAGACCCAGGAGATGACCCCTCCCCTCATAGACTACCATTCCCCCATAGACCCAGGAGATGACCCCTCCCCTCATAAAGACTACCATTCCCCCATAGACCCAAGGAGATGACCCCTCCCCCTCATATAGACTACCATTCCCCCCATAGACCCAGGAGAGATGACCCCTCCCCTCATATAGACTACCCTTCCCCCATAGACCCAGGAGATGACCCCTACCCTCATAGACTACCCTTCCCCCCATAGACCAAGGAGATGACCCCTCCCCTCATAAAGACTACCATTCATTCCCCATAGACCCAGGAGATGACCCCTCCCCTCATAGACTACCATTCCCCCATAGACCAAGGAGATGACCCCTCCCCTCATAGACTACCATTCCCCCATAGACCCAGGAGAGACCCCTACCCTCATATAGACTACCCTTCCCCCCATAGACCAAGGAGATGACCCCTCCCCTCATAAAGACTACCATTCCCCCATAGACCCAGGAGATGACCCCTCCCCTCATAAAGACTACCATTCCCCCATAGACCCAGGAGATGACCCCTCCCCTCATAAAGACTACCATTCCCCCCATAGACCCAGGAGATGACCCCTCCCCCTCATATAGACTACCATTCCCCCATAGACCCAGGAGAGACCCCTCCCCTCATATAGACTACCCTTCCCCCATAGACCCAGGAGATGACCCCTCCCCTCATATAGACTACCCTTCCCCCATAGACCCAGGAGATGACCCCTCCCCTCATAAAGACTACCATTCCCCCATAGACCCAGGAGAGACCCCTCCCCTCATATAGACTACCCTTCCCCCATAGACCAAGGAGATGACCCCTCCCCTCATAAAGACTACCATTCCCCCCATAGACCCAGGAGATGACCCCTCCCCTCATAAAGACTACCATTCCCCCATAGACCCAGGAGAGACCCCTACCCTCATATAGACTACCCTTCCCCCCATAGACCCAGGAGATGACCCCTCCCCTCATAAAGACTACCATAGACCCCCCAGATGAGACCCCAGGAGATGACCCTTCCCCTCATACCCAGGAGACTACCCTTCCCCTACATAGACCCAGGAGATGACCCCTCCCCTCATAAAGACTACCCTTCCCCCCATAGACCCAGGAGATGACCCCCCTCCCCTCATAGACCCAGAGAGACCCCTACCCTCATTCCCTACCCCATAGACCAAGGAGATGACCCCTCCCCTCATAAAGACTACCATTCCCCCATAGACCCAGGAGATGACCCCTCCCCTCATAAAGACTACCATTCCCCCATAGACCCAGGAGATGACCCCTCCCCCTCATAAAGACTACCATTCCCCCATAGACCCAGGAGATGACCCCTCCCCTCATATAAGACTACCATTCCCATAGACCCAGGAGAGACCCCTCCCCTCATATAGACTACCCTTCCCCCCATAGACCCAGGAGATGACCCCTCCCCTCATAAAGACTACCATTCCCCCATAGACCCAGGAGATGACCCCTCCCCTCATAAAGACTACCATTCCCCCATAGACCCAGGAGATGACCCCTCCCCTCATAAAGACTACCATTCCCCCATAGACCAAGGAGATGACCCCTCCCCTCATATAGACTACCATTCCCCCATAGACCCAGGAGAGACCCCCCCTCATATAGACTACTACCTTTCCCTCATAGACCCAGGAGATGACCCCTCCCATAAAGACTACATAGACCCAGGAGATGACCCCTCCCCTCATAAAGACTACCATTCCCCCATAGACCCAGGAGATGACCCCTCCCTCATGTAGACTACCATTCCCCCATAGACCCAGGAGATGACCCCTCCCCTCATAAGACTACCATTAACCCATAGACCCAGGAGAGACCCCTCCCCTCATATAGACTACATTCCCCATAGACCAAGGAGATGACCCCTCCCCTCATAAAGACTACCCCTTCCCCCCATAGACCAGGAGATGACCCCCCCCTCATAAAGACTACCATTCCCCATAGACCCAGGAGAGACCCCACCCCCCATATAGACTACCCCAGGAGATGACCCCCCCTCATAAAGACTACCATAGACCCAGGAGATGACCCCTCCCCTCATATAGACTACCCTTCCCCCATAGACCCAGGAGATGACCCCTCCCCTCATAAAGACTACCATAGACCCAGGAGATGACCCCTCCCCTCATATAGACTACCATTCCCCCCATAGACCCAGGAGATGACCCCTCCCTCATAAAGACTACATAGACCCAGGATATGACCCCTCCCCTCATATAGACTACCCCCATAGACCAGGAGATGACCCCTCCCCTCATAAAGACTACCATATAGACCCAGGAGATGACCCCCCCCTCATATAGACTACCATCCCCCCATAGACCAGGAGATGACCCCTCCCCTCATTTTGATAAAGACCAGCCTTCCCCATAGACCAGGAGATGACCCCTCCCCTCATAAAGACTACTCTTCCCCCCATAGACCCAGGAGATGACCCCTCCCCTCATGAAGACTGCCATTAACCCATAGACCCAGGAGAGACCCCTCCCCTCATATAGACTACCCTCCCCCCATAGACCAAGGAGATGACCCCTCCCCTCATAAAGACTACCCTTCCCCCCATAGACTCAGGAGATGACCCCTCCCATCATAAAGACTACCATTCCCCCATAGACCCAGGAGAGACCCCTCCCCTCATATAGACTACCCTTCCCCATAACCCAGGAGATGACCCCTCCCCCTCATAAAGACTACCATAGACCCAGGAGATGACCCCTCCCCTCATATAGACTACCCTTCCCCCCCCATAGACCCAGGAGATGACCCCTCCCCTCATAAAGACCCCCTTTCCCCCCCATAGACCCAGGAGAGACCCCTCCCCTCATATAGACTACCCTTCCCCCCATAAACCCAGGAGATGACCCCTCCCCTCATATAGACTACCCTTCCCCCCATAGACCCAGGAGATGACCCCTCCCCTCATAAAGACTACCATTCCCCCATAGACCCCAGGAGATGACCCCTCCCCTCATAAAGACTACCATTCCCCCATAGACCCAGGAGATGACCCCTCCCCTCATAAAGACTAATATAGACCCAGGAGATGACCCCTCCCCTCATATAGACTACCATTCCCCCCATAGACCCAGGATATGACCCCTCCCCTCATATAGACTACCCTTCCCCCCCATAGACCAGGAGATGACCCCTCCCCTCATAAAGACTACCATAGACCCAGGAGATGACCCCTCCCCTCATATAGACTACCCTCCCCCCCCATAGACCCAGGAGATGACCCCTCCCCTCATAAAGACCCCCCTTCCCCCCCATAACCCAGGAGATGACCCCTCCCCTCATATAGACTACCCTTCCCCCCCATAGACTCAGGAGATGACCCCTCCCCCCTCATAAAGACTACTCTTCCCCCCATAGACTCAGGAGATGACCCCTCCCCTCATATAGACTACCCTTCCCCCCATAGACCAAGGAGATGACCCCTCCCCTCATAAAGACTACCATTCCCCCATAGACCCAGGAGATGACCCCTCCCCTCATATAGACTACCCTTCCCCCCATATAGACCAAGGAGATGACCCCTCCCTCATAGAGACTGCCCTTCCCCCCCATAGACCCAGGAGAGACCCCTCCCCTCATATAGACTACCCTTCCCCCATAAACCCAGGAGATGACCCCTCCCCTCATATAGACTACCCTTCCCCCCATAGACCCAGGAGATGACCCCTCCCCTCATAAAGACTACCATTCCCCCATAGACCCAGGAGATGACCCCTCCCCCTCATAAAAGACTACCATTCCCCCATAGACCCAGGAGATGACCCCTCCCCTCATAAAGACTACTATAGACCCAGGAGATGACCCCTCCCCTCATATAGACTACCATTCCCCCCATAGAC